ATGTGGCGCTTAGGGACATGGTTTAGTGGGCATGGTGGTGTTGGGTCGACGGTTGGACTCGATGATCTTGGAGGTCTCTCAACCTTAATGATTCTATGATTCTAAGAATTTGGAATTGACTATACACCAAGTGCATGAGACAAATAATAGGTAATACTGATTTAGTTTTAATGTAGCGTATACTTAGTACATCCAAAAGTAGTGGGAATAGTATGGGTTTTATGAGATTAAATGAAACTCTTAAAAGAATGAATTTTTTATCAGTTGTAAAGAATTTTTGGCTACCTCATCTGTATTTCTTTCATCTACTTCATAGTTAATGTAGCCTAAAATAATTCAGTTGCATTTTTACCTGGCAACTGAAAGAGGGAGCAATTTGAAATTCATATTAAATGTTTTCAGTTATAGCTTGTTAAATTTGATTTAGCAACACTTTTAATAAAAAGTGATAGTTTATTGATCACTAATTATCAGGATTTATGTGATAAGCCAGCAAACTCTCAAAACTAATCCTAATCTTCAGTTACAGCATAAGAACAGAAAAGTGAAAACTGTAATTGTCCCATTATTTCCAGGTAATATGTTTTCTTTTACCTATCACTAAACATAAGGAAATGCTACATAAATGAAATACTGTATAAATATCCAGAGTATTAGGCATTGACAGATCACTGGTAGAGTAATTGCCATCAGTATTGTGTGACTCCCTCTGTGTTGTTTTCACAGACCATAGCATACAAGTTTTTTTTCCTGTTCGGTGGAAGGGGAAGCCCTGGGTCCTTACACATTCATAGCATTCTATAGGGGACTGAATAGGCTGCAGAGAACAGCATATTCCTACGGACCACTGGTCTGTTGATAACATGCCCATTTTCAATATTGGTCTTTTCAGCATAAAACAGATCATAGTACATGGTATTTGGGAATCTGTGAGTTGTCTGCTTTTTCTGTCTTTGCAACCACGAACCTCACTTTTTGCTGCATTCAGCAGTGGACAGTGGGAAAGAATCACTGTTTCCTCCTTAAGAACATACATTCCTGTGATGATGAGTAATGGAAGCACACATGTTGTATATCTGAAAGCCGGGCCCAGTTACTTAAAAAAAGAGGGGAAATTAATTTTGAGCAACTGAAAGGACAGGTTTCACTACTACTTTGACTGGGAAAGATAGCGTAGCCAGTCTGAGGTAGCTGTATTAGTGATGTCTTGTCAAACTGATGAAGGGTCACCTTCTTGCCGTTCATGTTCTGGATTGCTACAGAGGAAAGACTGTATTTGTCAGTGGTTTTGTACTGCTATCTGTTGCTGCTGTAAGAGAGCGAGGTAAGGTATTAATATGTGATAAGGGACCGTATAAAAGTGCTGATGGCAATCCTGCTGGTACTGAGCTAATCTTTCAGAAATTTGAACACCGTGAAAATAGGATTAAACTCATTTCGAAGTCGTTGTTAGTACTTTTCTACATGAAAAATTTCCTGGAGAAATTTTGAGAAGAAGCAAGGCTCTTGGGAAACTTCCTCAAGGGATAATATATGTACACAGTGGGGAATCTGGTTGATTTTTAATATGATGCTCTTGTTTCTTAGAGCCCAAAATGAACTAGAGGTTGCAGAGGCCCCATCCATAACCTGATGTCCTAAACTCAAAGCCCGTTCTTCATCTCCAAGGTCCACTTTGTCTTAGTAGTGTTCATCTTTGCAGTGGGAAATAAACTATCATTGATTATACTAAATTTCATACATTTGCAACAGATCTGCCTTCCTGCAACAGGCTTGTAAGACAGTCTGAGGTGTTGCTGATACCCTCATGTGGGGCACCAAACTTCTGAACCGTTGTCTTTGTCTTGATATTGTAAGGAATCAGAAATTGCTAACTGTAGCAAGTGCTGCCTTAGACCCTTCTGCTAACTTCTGTGCAGTTCCAGTTGTCTGTTACTTAGGTTAGGGACACGAATCAACAAACCATGAGAATTGTTATAACTATGTAGTCCTTAATCCTGTGGGGTCGTGATAACATAACCCCACTCAAGGCAGCAGTTCTTTGTTCTCAGCTTTGCTGCTGTGAGATCAATGCCTTAGCAATAATGATTAGTAATTGACATCCTGTTGTTCTGTATATGTGACTTATTTAGACTTGATTAATGCCCATAAAGGCAATGGGAAATTTCCCATCATCATTCAGTCAAAACTCTAGATAGGAACTGAAAACACAAACTGACTTATAACATCCAATGATCAGGGAATGAGTGATAACCCAGCTGGTTTATGTGTGATCTGATGGCATTAATCTTCAGATCTGGAGGACATCATGGGCTACAGTAATTTGACAAATGTGTGTTGTATTTTGTAGAGAGCATCAGTAAGAGAAAGTTGTGCTTTCCTCTCTCTCAGCTTAAAAATGGAACCAAAGACCAAAGGACTAAAACAACAACAGCAGCAACATAAGAAACTGCTGGCTGCCATGCTTTCTCAGGACTCCTTTGATTCTGCTCAAAGCACAGCTCCATCTGTAACTGAAGAAGATATTGACAATGAAGATGATGCAATGGAACTGCTGGGTAACTTAAAAAAATTATGTGTATTTGCTGATACTTTTTTTATTATAGATTAGTCTAAAAAGTGTAATACCCGACCAAGCATAGATTAGTTTGAATCTGTTCCCTATGTTTGAAGCTAAAGTATCCAGCAGCTGTGTGAAGGTTCATAGGGTTTAACTTGCAACTTTCAGGAGTGAATGTAATGAGGACTGTACATGTATGTGAATAAACTGCTAGCTGCATCAAAATCCCATGAAATATCAAACGCTTCAGGTGCTTAAAGTAATTAATTTGATTTCCTACATAAATCACTTGCAGGTTCTACTTGGAGAATGTATTTATGTACAAGGAGCAGAATCAGCTTCACTGGCTTTCATCTGGTTCTTCTTTTTCTTAGCTGTATCACAGTTCTAACTTCAGTGGGTTTTATTTGAAACTTACTAGCTACAAATAGCTTACACAGTGTGAATTTGTAACCTCTCCAGAGGATTTGATTGTAATTTTCCAGTAGACTGTATTGTTAAATTGCACTCTAGAAGGCTCTATGCCCACTGCTTTCTCCCGTTCCTAGAATTACTAGTTGTGAAAGGAGGGAAATTGTTGAAGAAAGTTAATTAACAATCTCTTTTCTGCTGGTTTTAAAAGCTTCAATGTAAGATGCTTAAAAGGTAGTCGTGGATTTCAATTTTTTTTTTTGCCAGTTTTTGCTGTATAGAATCTTTTGTGGGATCAAAGCACAGGAAATACACAATCTCAGGATAGCTCAGCATTCTTATATTTATGAATTCTATCACAAATTATTTGTTTCAGGTTGGACCTTAATCTAAAAATCAGAAAAACACATGGTGCTCTCTCTGTTTCTGTTATATTTCTGTTGCTTCCTTACTACAGTCTTCATAGAATCACAGAATAGTTGGGGTTGGAGGGGACTGCTGGAGATATCTAGTCCAACCCCTTGCTCAAAACAATCAGCTAGAGCAGGTTGCTCTGAACATTGTTCAGTTGGGTTTTGACTTTCTCCAAAGATGGAGACTCTATGACGTCTCTGGGCAACCTGTTCCAGTGCTTGACCATGCTTATGGTAAAAAAAGGTTTTTTGTTATGCTTAAATAATTGTGAATTAATACATACTTTCTTTCTTACAGTAGCTTTAAGTTTGATGCATGCATTTGTTTTTACGGAAAAGAAGAGATAATGGGCTGGGTCATTCAGGTGTCACAGTGGGTCAATTAGTTCTTTGTGTTTGAAGGAAGTCACACTGTTTGTGACTGTGGGCTTGCAGTCTTCATGGAGTCAGTTGGTGTTTCCAGAACTAATTCATGGATTCCAGTGAAGGCCATAATTAGTCTGTAGCTGCGTTATCTCCTTATTTCCTCCTGCGATTTACAGATCTTTCCAACTTTATCAGTGTGACATAAAAAGCAAGCTGAATGGGTGTCTTGTACTGGCATAAACCACAGGACTCCTAAGGTAGTATTCTGTGGCATCTGGAAGGTACAGTAGGTAAGTGTGTGTGTGTGTGAGAGTGCGTGTGTGATTTTATTGGCCTCATTATGTATCACATACAGAATAGAATCTTTTGTTAACTTCTGTGGAGATAGTGAGGAAAAGATATCCAATAGGTGTGTAGGTCTTTCCTTCTAGACATTTGAATCCCTCAAGGTATCCAGAACCAGAAAGACAGTATAAAGGAAATTTTATTTTCTAGTGTCTTGACGTTTGGGCAGAATATTATCTGTGTACAAACAAATGTTTTGGTTTTTTTAATAAGGACTCGATTGTAAGAATCCATTCTGGTTTTGTGCCGTGCAAAACCTGGAACATTTTTCTACCATGCATTTCATCAAAACTGGCAAAGTTTATACAGAATCAACTTAAAACTAGGAAAGGTCACAAACAGGACCTCTGGTTCGGGTAGAGCATTATATAAGCGATTCTGAGATTCTGAAGCAAAATCATGGCATATTCGATGAATAGCCATGGTTATAGTGATTATAATATAGCCATGTTATAGTTACTACCACTGATAGAAAGTTCAGTATGCACATCTTCGTGTTGAAAGTGCTGTGCTTCTGAAAGACTGGGTTTTATTTTAATTCTCATTTTGCAATTTGCTGACAGTATGTGGTTTATATCTGATATAGTGGTTAGGTTACATCCTGCAGAACTGCTCAAAACTTGAGGATATGAGGAAGTGTGTTTTGTTTTCTTTTGAAGGTAACGTGAAGAACTTAAGTTTCTATTGGCAAACATAGGTATTTTTCATTGCTATATTTTCCAGATCAGTAACTGTATGATACTGGGATTGATTTTTTTTTTTTTATTATGTACTGCATTAATCCATTAACTGCTTTGATGCTTTTTACACTGCTTATATGCAGTATAACTAATTTCAAATCATGGCTTTCTGCCATCACTGAATTGCAGGGCATTGTTGCATACAGCTACTTGACTTGTTCCCTTTAGAGTTCAGTATTCGTTGCTTATTCAGCCCTTTCTTAAAAAAATTACAAAACCTCACGCTCCTAAGTCTGGATTCTGGGAAAACAAATTCTACTACTTACAGCAGATGATTTTATTGCGTACCCTACTTATAATGCAGGTTTTTGCAGAACACAAACTTCCATCTTTATGTGTGTTCAAGAGAATCTTTTTCAGAGTTTGATTGATTTATTTAGATAGTAAAAGCATGAAACTGACTGTTGGTATATTTTCTTTTAAAAAAAACCTCCTAGTACTCACATCAGAATTGTCAATGAAGGTTTAGCTAGAATGAAACATTCCAAATAGAAGAAACAATTAAGCTGTTATACTTCTGAAGAATCCATTTCAAAAGAAATATATGTGCAAAGATAAAAAAGAATATTATGGGGCTACATTCTGATTTCACTTATCACTCTTTATATATAACATAAGATGCATAGGAGGGCTGTTAACACATTGCTAACTTTCTAAGTGTGTTCAGTTACGCAGGTGGCTGAAATGGATTACTGGCAGATAACATCATAGTGGAAAGGATCTTCCTGACTTTTAAAAACTGAGAACTGTAACTGTAAAATCACATGTATTTGTAAATGTAAAAGGGTAATGCAATTGAGGTCTGTGACTGAAAATTATATCAGGCGGCTCATTTTGTATACATCGTAATGTCAAGTACTGTGTTTTGTAAATCTAATCGGGCGCTGAAGTAGTTCTTTGTGAAACTCTGCAGTCCTTTTGGAATTCCATGACATTTGGGCTTAAGCTGTCTTTCGCATTTGGCTGAAGTCCACTGAGACTTTAAAAATCATGTTATTCCCTCAGTATCTCACTGATGTCCATTGGAGAGGACTGAACTGTATTTTCCCTGAAATTGACGGGAATATTGATTGAACAGTCACCAAAGAATGACTCATTTGGTTTTAAAAAGTCAATTTTTTAATTAAGTGTAAGAATATAATTGTTTAAATGTATTGCTATGCATAAACATACACATGGTAAAAGCATAAGTTTTTTTGTAGCACACGAACTTAAATATACATTCTTGAGCTTCTTATAAGGAAGATGAAAAAGAAATTCTGTATTGTTTTACACAATATTGATAAGTAGTCATAATGCTCAATCACCTCTTCTTGTTGTCATCCAATCTTTATGCATGCTCACAATATTAAAAATGTTACCATATGTTAATACTTGCTATACAATAGTTAACTATGAAGCACCACTCCAAAGATAATTGTACCCAGGAAGCTCACACAGGTGTGGTTGAAGTGAAAAGTGGTGATAACTGAAGTCTGTTTCCTGCAGGTATATTGTCACATATACCAGTCTGTATGATTCTGAAGAAGCCTCCATGATTTCAATGCAAATAATCATATATCTGAGCTAAACTTAAGTGTTTGCAGCATCAGGACTTGTAAAACCATCTCTTCTTTTCTTCAGAGCTGGTTTCACAGTAATAGTGGGTTTTTTTGCTCAATGTAGAAATCTTAAGTGAAAGTTCAGCGATTGTCTGCCTCGTGTTTATTATGTGTAATTCTTGCTATGCAGTAACAAACCAGAATCTTTAAAGATAGAAATGCTCTTTAAGTAGTAATATATTTTTTAACTATTGCTATCAGGAAATACCTGATGTCTTCTGTTTACTTTAATAACTTTTCTTCTAACCTCTAGAATTTCTTTTTTGCTCAAGAACTTTCCAAATGTTACTTACATAATCATTGTAACACCCCTGAAAGATTGGATGGTGATATATTTACATTTTATAACAAGAGGAGATAAACAGAATTTAGTGAAGATTGCCTTTGCCTGTAGGATGAGGCAATAACTCGATGTCTGGTAGTCTACCCCTCATATAGTCTACGCTGCTCTTCTGATAAGTCTCTGAGTGCTTTAATGAAAGGGTGTCCAATCTGCAGTGCTTTCAGTGCATTTCCTCTGGTTCAACAAACATTCCTGATTTCCCTGTTTTCTAGAGGTCTTTGGCAACATGCAGGAAACAGACTCTAGACCTGATAAATTATTTTAATATTAGCAGCAGGCTGTTCTTTTTTGTTGTCTTTCCCAGCTGGACAAAAACTCCTCCTCCATTATGCGACTAGAATACATCATTTGCCAGAAGAGAGGCCACAAGGCCCTGGGAAAGATAGTATGTGAGTTGTACTACATCTTCAGAACAGTTTTCTGGCCTGCAGTCTGTTTTGTTGGGGTTTAAGTAGAATGATTGTGTGGGAGAAAGCTGTGTGAATTGCTCATCATGTCCCCTTTTGCTGACTCTTCTTTTTTGGAAGCTATTGGGAAATCGGCAACATTACCAGTGAGCATCTGCTGTGTAGTGCATGCACAGAAGCTGACACCGCTGGGAGACAGTAGGCCTCTTCTGCATGCAGAGACTGGCTGCGTACTATACATTGCAAAATTTTCAGTGGCAGATGTAATGCACTGGTGCAAGTGTGTGTTACAGATCTCCGTTAGAAGGGCACTCAGACTCCATAAGGTGTGGCTTTCAATACCTTTTTGAGGTGGAAAAAGGGGATAGCATA